CTACACCTTGTTAGCCTCTGTGTGAAGTTGCTCCTCAGGTCCCTTTTAAAACTTTCCCCTCTCACCTTAAAACTATGCCCTTTAGTTTTGGACCCCCCTACTCTGGGGAAAAGATATTAGCTATTCACCCTATCCATGTTCCTCATGATTTTATAAACCTCTATAAGGTCACCCCTCAGCCTCCTACGCTCCAGGGAAAATAGCCCCAGTCTATTCAGCATCTCCCTATAGCTCAAATCCTCCAACCCCGCAACATCCTTATAAATCTTTTCTGAACTCTTTCAAGTTTCACAACCTCTTTCCTCCAGCAGGGAGACCAGCATTGAATGCAATATTCCAAAAGTGTCCTAACCAATGTCCTGTACAACCCCACAACTCCGATACTCAATGCACTGACCAACGTGACAATAAATTATTCAAATCAAATAAGTAAATCAATCAAGTGAAATGAGACTAGGTTCAGATTGGGATATCTGTCCGGCGCCGAAAATTTGGGCCGAAGAGTCTGTTTCCGTAGTGTATAACTCTATGACTTAGCACACAATTGCAGGTTCCAGCTCTCAAAGCAACAAAAAACAGAGGTGAAAGCAGACACAGACACACTGAGGAATGAACCACAACAGCAAAACTGGATTGCTGCCCTAAATTCATTCAACTCACAACAAAAAAAAACCCTGCACAGAACACGGGGAGTATTTTACATTTGGATCCGAAAGGTTCAAACCCTATTGTGAATTTGTGTTTCAACCTTACAGTGGCTATCTAAACATCAGCTCAAATTAAACAGCGATAAAAGAGACCATTCAGTTGTCCATGATGTCAACCAGCCCCCACAACACCATAAATGTTCCCAACAAGAGTCCAACTTCTTGTTGAAAGTCTGGCTGTTACTTCTCTCTTCCTCGATTCTTTGGCAGGATAAAAGGGGAAGATTGTGAAAACCTCTTGCGTGAGAAAACTAAGTTCTTTGTCCTCGTTTGCTCGCAACTCCATCCTCAGTAAGAGTCAATGGTGATAACCTCCACCTCTTTCGATGGTCTGCGTTCCTTCACCAGCAGGTTCAGCATACTTTCCGATTTGATGAGGAGTTTGCAGCCCAGGAAGAAGATGCCGAAGAGCACGGTCAGTGAGAGGACACAGAGCACGGCGATCTGTACCACCCTGAGGGTATCCGGGCTGCCCTGTCCTTCGCTCACCAGCCACGTCCCGTTGCAGCAATTGAGGAGAGCCCGAACCGTGTCGGTTTTGCCCGGGTCACTGATCGCCTCGCCCGGCCGGCTGGAGTTCATTCTTCCGCTATCAGGCTCTGCTACCTTTCCAGAACTCCCTTCGATCCAGCCCCACACACACGTCTCGGGTCGAACCATTCATTCCTTTTTTGTAAAGGAAGGAGAGGGGGGTTGGGGTAGGAGGGAGAGAACACTCCACGTGAGATCTCCTCTCCCCTCCTGGGCTCTGAGAAGCTCATCCTTTTAACCAGGGACATGCACGGGGCAGCTTCCAGTCATTGCACTGCAGGGATAGCATGAACTGCAGATGCTGGAGTCAGAGTCGATACAGTGTGGAGCTGCAGGAACACAGCAGGTCAAGGCAAAACCCTGGCCCCGGCCTGAAACGTCGACTTTCCTGCTCCTCTGATGCTGCTAGACCTGCTGTGTTCCTCCAGCTTCACACTGTGTTGCACTGGACAGTGTGTGTCTACATTTTTCAAAACAAAAAGTGGAAGTAGAATTCGTCGTTGACCTTCAGAAGAGCTGGAACTCGAACCTGGGTCTATTTGTTTTAGGGTATAGACACTGCCACTGTTCCGCTGATTGCCAAAGCAGCTAAGCTCCCATATTTTCCTCATAAATCTATCCAGAGGGGCTATTGCAAGCAGGAGTTGAATCTGGAATTCCTGCCTCAGAGGTTAAGGACATTAACCACTGTGCCACAAGAGTCCAGCAGCCTATGTCTAAAATAGTTTATTTCTTTTTAATTAACTTATATTCAGAGATTTATGACACAACTCTGTTGCAAGTACTTGAACCCTGGCCTCCAAGTCCAGGGGTAGTGACACTACCACAAGAGGGCAAGGATAAGCTCACCTATTAAATTACTAAATTCAGTCAGAATTGGCAACTTGTTTTATTCCATTTAACCTATTTTGCTAATCAACCTGTTC